TTCCTTCTTGTGTAGGAACAAATTGGGAAATTGAAACAGTCTATGTCAAAAATTTAGTTAAGTAAATTTTAATAAATCACAACAGGATATACAAATAATAATTTTTTTTTATGGTTTCAGGTCAGTTATTAAATGGAAAAAATAAAATAGGTAAGTAATTAAAATAAGGTAAATGATTGCAAATTGGAACTGAAGTTCCTTTGCAGGTCGGTTATTTAATGAAAAAATAGAATATTCAAAATTAGGTAAACGAAAGCTTATTGGAACTAGGTTCCTTACTTCAAATTTACTAAGACTTATTTAAAAAAGAAAAAAATCAAACAAAATTATGGATGGAAACTTCCCTTATCCTTATTTTAAGCATGTTAATTATAACTTACAATCTTTATACATTTCCCCACGTCTTTAACATTTTATTTAATCACATTTGGTCGAAAGGCAGAGTAGATGTAGGAGCACTCGAGTAGCTGGTTGAAAACCTTTTATTTCTCATTTTCTTGCATCGGAATCCAGAATCGTTACATCGCTTCAACTAGGATTGCAAAAGTAAAAATTGGGGCTGGATTGAGATTGGAATTGACTTCTATTCAATCAAATTGATCTGAGGGTTCTTACATGCGCTCGGAACACATTATTTTTGAAAATTGCAAAAATGTGTGTGAAAAATTAGAGCTGCAAGGAAGTAAAAAAAACCCTCAGTATAGCTTAAAACTCAAAACCATATGGTTAAAAACCATTGCTTCAAAGGTTTATGTGATACCCCTCGTTTTTATTCTAATCGGTGACTTCACCGATGAGTTAGCTATCTTGGTTTAGTGAATGGAAAATGACATGACCGACATATAATGGTGGATCCATCGGTAAAATTTGATGAGAATAAAAACGCAGGGATATTCTAGAACTCTTCCAAAATCATAATCGACTGACAATTGATGGCGCTGCTTGCTTATTCACTTCAAAACCTATAAATAGAATGTCGAACTTCACAAGTATAGAACAGGTTGTTATTCAAACAGCCCGCCAAGTAATAAGACTCTCTCAGGCCTCGGGAATGACATCGTCGAATTCGGAAATCGTGCGCTAGATGAATAAAGTAACCCAGGGTAACAATGCAAGTTTCCGAACTTTCTATTGAACACCTTATTTGAAACCTAATAAACTCCTTAAAGCGAATATCGCGCCAGTGCCAGGATAAAGATCTTCGATTTTATGTGTACGCCTTACTTGCTTTTTAGCATTTACTTTCCTATTCTTTACTGTAAAACGAAAATGTAAATAGTTTATAAAGTAAGTTTTGATAATACAGTAACTGGAAATTGAGTTTTCTATCCGTTTCAAAGTTTTTATAGAAATTATTAGAAAACTTTCGTATCGCCATCTAATAATAATATTACTCAGAATCTATTGTACAACTGTGTAATACATGTACATAAATCAAAAACCAATCTGGTTGAGAGTGATAACAAAAATTTTATGGAACAATCACATCTTATAAATAATCTTCCTAGGTAAGGCAAAGATTCCGGTCTACTTTTTCCACTATATCACAATATAATGTTCATATTTCCGTCTTTTTTTCCATGTAAGCCCTGCAATTTTGAAGACCTACCTTTCTACTAGTTACTGTTTCTTCTGCAACATCATTATTTCCAATTCGGCAACAAATTCTGGAGAGTGGATATAATTTTTGCCAGTGCTGTGTTGGTAGGGGTTAGAACCGCGATTACAGCTCTCGTCAACATTCTATACATTTAATGTTGGCTTTTTTTTTTTTTTTTCTTTTGATCATTTTGAAAAGCCAGTCTGTGCTCGGTTCTCTTTATTCCTTATAGGCCGACTCAGAAATCCATTTTGGTTTTTCGATTATTTCGAGTGAAAACTATATTCCTAAACAAGAGCCAAAAGAAAATTGGAATTAGCGAAAAAAATGTTCGAGGCCCGTTTTGCTAATCTAACATATAATGGAATAACAGACCTTTTTTTGCTACCCATTCTGTAAGTTGAGTTTTTGACCTACGTCCATGAACTGTGAGTGTCACTTACAGTCCGGGTCAAAAAAGTGTTGATATGAAAGGTGAAAATTGCTTGGTTCATATCTCTGTCAAAATAATGTCACAAAAACACTCGACTTCTTAATTAAAAAACCCAAAACAAATTAAGGATACAATTTCATTGAAACAAATAGAAAATACCTAGACCCCAAAAAGTTGAAATTAGCATAAACAGATAGGTAATAATATAAAAATGAGATACTTCACAGTTATTTACTTTGTAATTTTGAAAGTAAAAGAAACATTTTTACAACTAGTCACATTTAACACAGGGATACTTTCCTGTATTGAAGAACTTAAAATATTATAATGATATTTATTATCTTGAATGTACGGTAGCACAAAAAATATCATATGCACCTCGACCTGTAGCGTGTAACACTTACAAGCCTTGGTACATAAATAACTATTAAACCTGTCTGTCGTGCTTATTGATCGACTCGAGGATGTTTTTATCAGAGAAATCTAGAAAAAAAAAATTCGAAATAATTGGAGAAGGCTTGAAACGGTATTTAGGCAAGGCACCGCGGCGTGGGTGACAAAAGAGTTAAACCAGTTAGTCGCGATACCGAGTGTGAATTAAGCTAGATTTGGTATGGTTTTTTATTCCTCTATATCTATGAGAAGTAACTTATATCACACTCTGTAAACTTTATTTTGACAACTAGTCGTCAGTCATGCAAGGGGTCAGGAAGATTATGTCCAGAAAATTCAGAAATACAAGAATATACGACTAAAAAAAAAAGAATGAGTAATTGAAGAAAAAAATTCAAATTAGGAAAAGTTTTAGCGAGTATTATGAGCTTGGCCTACTTCCAGTGTGAAAAGGGTTTCCTTTTGATATGGGAACAACCTCTTAGTAATTTTTGTAGTTGTTGTTGAATATCTGACTTTTCCTCTTTGATTTTATCTAGAGATGCTGAGGCTTGTAGAAATGGTTCTTCTAGAATGTCGTGCCCTATATTGACAACGGAAGCATCTGTTGTGTTTGGGTTGATGGGTTGTATCATGGCTGCCAAAACAATGACTGATTCTGATTTTTTTGGAGTCAAATGTTTTTATTGGTCTTGATGATGCAGTTCTGGGATATGACCAAAACCCCTGTTTTGTTGAGAGTCACATCTTCACGAATGCGATCGCAGATGATTGTCACCTTAAGTTGATCAGCGCTAATAAACATCCAAGCATTGGGAGTATTCAAACGTTTCTATATGATACTAGATATCAAGGTCTTCCTTCGCAGTGTGCCCAACGTATTTTGCGACCGCTGATAGTTCATCGATGATGCAGTTGGGAGTGGCTTCAATGTTGTAACCCCTTTTGTTAATGATGTAACTATGGGTCCATAATATGCGCAGCTTAGCTCAGTAATTAATTAGGCGTGGGTCTATTGTGTATACAGTTTGATTTTGGACGCCACTGAATTTTATATAAAAAAAAAATAATTTGTATTAGATGGAATATCAAAATGCTAAAATTCAGAAAAACATTCTAAAAATCAAATTAAAGAATAAAAATGGTTAATTAAGTTCTTTAGATGAAAATACTGAAAGAAAAAAAGTAATATACCAAAATAACTCAACCAACTCAGAACCCAGGTAATACCAAAAAAAACAACTAAATAAAATTTTTAATCAAACAGTGTTTATTTAATATTTCATTCTAAGTGATTCAGAATTCTAAATTAATAAAAAATATTTACTCAATAAGAGATTATCAGGAAATATCAAGCTATTTAATTCTAAGTGATTCCGCAATCTACACTTGAAGAAAAATATTTATATACTGGCAAATATGAAGTTAATAGCAAAAATCTACATTAATAAAAAAATATTGACTCAGTTAGATAATATCAAGCCAATAGCCATATTCTTGACAAATAACCTAGGCTTAAACAAAATTTATTATTACCAAGTTAAGCGAGAACTGATTCCCAAATTAATTATTTAATTGGAAACAGATTTATTTAATTTATGAATCCTAAAAACTATTGGGAAATGGACTAAGAAATAAAAGAACTTGTTAATTATCGATATTCAATATATTTATTATATCGAACACAGCGTGGAAAGCAGAGCGTGTGAACTCATAGAAATACCTATACGAACTGACTCAACATCAAGACAAAGAATTACAAACCCTTTCTTAAGTAAACGATTTCTCATCTGTTTATCTTACATATAAAACTATTATAAACACATTCAGTCATTCATAGCTGTGATATAAATTAGCAAAGTATAGGCTAATAATCAAAGTTTAGTTTATTAATTTTTGTTTCACTGATATGAATACCAGTTTATCCAACACGCCATCTCAAACATTTGATCAATTATACTAAAAGTGTAATACAACTTAAACCTAGTATAACATAAATAGGCCCGCTTTCCTTATGTGTGTCTTTCCTGGGGAAAATTACAATAACGATCCAGCATTTGCTGCTCAGGATTAGGAAAAACCCAGAAAAACCTAATCAAACCATTTAACTTATTTACTAAGCCTAATTCCATTCTAATTTCTCAAATTTCACTTGCATCAATGGTTTGGTAAACATGTCTGCTAGTGGTTTATCTGTGGACAAATTAATATTTTATATTAATTACGATCAATTCAATATGGTTTGATCTTTTCGTCGCCCTAGTTGTGAATGGTCGTAATCCACTCAAGGTAAGTTGTGAGTAAACTGCATTTGAAATTTTTGTTTTAGGTGAAAATATGCTTTTTAAGTTGTTATAATCTTATTTATTTCAAATTCAACATTTTAACCTGAATTAATTAATCTTAAAGGTATTACAAAAATATTTTATAGGAAAAAAATAATGTTTTTGCTATAATTATGTCATTATGTGGCTTAGAACTTTTCACCTATGAAATTCTTGAACCTATTTAGGTTTTCATTTCATAAGTGAAAAGTCCTAAGTCACATAACGACATTATCACAAAAAACACATGTCAGTTAGTATCTTCATCATCTGAATGGCTTGGAGGGACTTCTTCCGCAGACCTCAAATTTTCATAAAATGCATGGTAAGCTGAAGGAATACACAGGGAGCTGCATAGTTGGAGCAGACTACGAAGTTTTCTCTTTTCTATACACAGAGGCTCTTTATAAAGACGTTCAACATTAACCTTTAAACCGCTGGCAGCCCTTGTGGAGATCTTTTTTATGAGAATAGATTGAAATTCTGGATTGGAAAGTTGATCTTTATAAAATATTCTGGTAGGATCTGCCTTTCTATACTGTATCCATTTCATTTTGAGCCAATTGGCGGTTTCTCCTTTTTCATTTTTGTTTCGATTTTTGATGACCAGAGAAGAAAACTTTTTAAAATTTAAAAACTGATCAAAGTTAAGTTCAACTACTTTATAGAAAGGTTTTTTTATTTTTGCCGTGCGTGCAGTTGCATACCAACCTTCAGGCGTAAAAATGTCAACTTTATTGCCCCTAGTCTCAATGCTAGAATGAACACTGTCACATTCCATTTCAGAATGCCCAGATTCCATGAATTTCTGGTTCACAACTTCTACCGGTAACTCCGAAACAGCTTTAAGAAACATTGCAGCATTGATACAATTCCTGTTTTGCCCGGATGCGGTATCAGAATAAAAAATAATGTCTTTCACGGAAGGATCAAGATTTTGCAGAACATGCCACAAGCAAGTTGCAATTTCTGAGGATCCTTTCGTTCCCACACCTTCATGCCACATATAATTAGTAGCTTCAGAAGTTGCCAAGTTGTAGACAGTAAAGTTGTAAGTCTTTAACTTCTGAGCATAATATAATTTACCGACATTGAGGGATGGTGTTACAAGAACTTTTTCCATGTCCATTGTATAAGAAGCGAAGCTATTATTTACTTTGGATCGTTCCTTGTCCTCTTTTTTATGGTCCCTAGCTTCTTGTTTCCTAATTAGATGTAAATCGTACTCTTCTTGTAGTGGAAACTTTTCTTGTTCTTCCAAAGAACTGAATTTCGTGCACAAATCGCACTGATCTTTTTTTGGATGATGAAATCCAAGGTTAAATTCAGTAACGAAAACATTTCTGTAAAAGCTAAATTTTTCTGGAACGACATCTCTATCTTCGCAAAAAAGTTTGTAGTCTTCATACAACCGTTTTTCGGAAAGATTGGGAGGCAAATAATTTCTTTTTGTCGTTGTTCGACAATAATGTGACGAAACTACAGGAATTGATTTTATGTGTTCTCTGATAACATTTTTTACATTTTCAGGTTTTTTCTGTGGAGGACTTTTTTTACCACGCAAGTCTGGTTGAATTATGCCTGTTTCAGAACTCTTGCTAACTGCGGTTCTGACTGTCCTGCTAGAAATGTTCAGAGTTGCGAGAAATTTTTTTTGACAAACTTGGCGAAAAGCTTGATTTGATGTTAAATGATAAACAAAAGTCTTTGATCGTCTGTCATTGTTGTCACTATAACATCGTTTTTTTGGAATACAAGAAACGTGTTTTATAATAAAATTCCATTTAAGCTCTTGAGATTTTAGCTCAAGAAAATTTGATAGAATTTCTTCTCGCTGTTCCTTTGTAAAATATTGTTGACATTTATAATGACAACGACATACAATATCTTTCACAGATTTAGCACCTTTAAGTTTACCTTTCTGTGTATAGTACTGTTTTCCTTCCAATCTTAAATTTTTCTGCACATTTCTCTTCCATGAATTTGGATCTCTCTTTCTTTTCCGAGTGAGCTTTTCAGTCGCATTTTCTTGGACTGGCTCGGCAGCGTTAATATCTACATCTGAATCACTCTCCCTTCTCAATTCAGCATTTTCTTGAGTAAGCTTTCCACCATTAGAATCAACTTCTAAATCACGCTCTCTTCTTGGTTCTCTTGTGAGTTCTTCAGATTCTGAAGATTCTTCATCATCGCTGGATGGTTCATAACTATCGGTAAATCCAAAATTCCCGTCTTCGACATCGATTCTAGTGTCAGACTCCACATAACTTGAACTTGGTTCTGCGTAAGGGATTCCTTCATTCAGTGGCTTTTCATCTGGAAAAAAATATTTTCGATAACATTGGATTGTTATCCAGGTATGAGTCTAATGATCAAAGGTTCAAGTCTAGCTCATCTGGAAGTTAGTTTAAAACAGTTTTTCCGGCAATGTTATTAAGATGAAAAACACCATTTAGAAACAGTATTTTCACATAAAAATGCAAGAAAACCATGTAAAACAATAAAGAAAACATTTAGAAATAGTGCAAGCTTTGTTTTGTCACAAATAATATTTGAATTGAAACCTTATAGTCCTCGGTTAGTCCCTAGTAAAATATTTAACATTAAACTCACCAGAAAATGGTTCCTTTGAAGTAATAATGGAGGATTTGTCGGGAATTTCCTTCTGGCTGCTATTTGGGTTAATGACTCTCAAATAATTAGAACCATCTGTTGAATTACGGACATTACGGCTGTCCTGTGCCTGCATTTCAACTAAAAACATGACAAAAGAGTTAATTAAACACTTTAATTGGACATTCCTAATTCCGTGAATTCACCCAACTTATTTAATATTTGTTTGATGTCCTTACCAGGTATTGGTACCGGGGTTAATGTAGCGTAAGTCAAGCTATCTTCATCATCATCACTGAAATTATTGTATTCGTTGATTTCCTGGTTGAGTGCTAGTTGAAGTATTAATTTGCTCTTTGCACTCATTTTCAAAATTTCTTCACACTTCAACAGCACAACAAGTACTAACAAAGGCATGAAAACTTGTCATCACTTGTAAAATGTGGATTAGAGCTAGTCACTGTTACTGAAATACTTCAGCCAAAGGAATTGAATTATTGTAGTGAAAAGTGCTAAGTCGCTTAGGACTTTTCACCATGGAAGATTTGTGGCTTATTACTATTAGCAAATATACTATAACAAGGTGAAATATTGATCACTGGCTTGGATCTACTTACCAACATGAAATTTAAACATTTTTAAGTATGCTAACAGTCACAACTCAAAAATGAACATTTTGTGGATTACGACCATTCACAACTAGGGCGACGTTTTGTGATTTGTTGGATTATTTGTAATAGTTATTGAGGTCCATTGTTGTCCTCCTAGGTCATAATTGACTCTGATATTAATGTTTATGCATATTTTCTGCTAATGATTTTAACCAAAGAGCTTCTGTGACAGCTTTAAAAAGAAAACCATATATTCGGCTTCAGTAGATGATGCCGCTACTGACAACTGCCTTTTTGTATTCCAACATATCACACTAATTTCAAACAGTTTAAATAAATATCCTGTTGTGCCTTTTACATTGTTTATATCATGCATCTCCACCTTCTTAGTCAGGATTAATAGAAACACTCAAGAAATTGATATATTCACAACTAAAATATTGTGTCAACTTCACATTCATTTTACCCTTAAGGTATCTAGGAACCCTTTTCAAATATTGCCAAAACTCTTTATTATTCTTGTTTTAATACCTGCTCAAAATATTAACAGTGGTACTTAAATCAGGCTTGATATACATAACATAATATACATTAAACAGACGATTAGATTCCGGCAAGGGCTATCATGTTTTTCTTCTGAATTTAAACCAATCAAATTCAGTTTACTAGGAAGTGGAGTGCTGACACAGCTGATGGCACAACAGTCATTCATATTAAATTTATGTGAAATAGTTTTCATGTACATGTGAAATGTCCCTATATGAAAATTGATCAAGAGTAATTTTATTTTTGATTACCTTTTAATTTTATTATCCAAAAATAGTTTACTGTCTTTCAAATAAAACATAGAACAGTTATTTGCCAAATACCTTTTGAAACTATTCAATGTATTATTATCTGCAGTGGCAAATACCATCTACAGAACTACATAAATAATTTTACATATTGCACCTTTGTCTGTCAATACAGTGGTTAACTGATGAATTTTCAAATCCAAACTAACATCCACCCAAACTAACCCAAACTAACATCTAGTGGATTGTTTTAGTTCATAGATACAAAGCCTTGCAAACTTAGGAGGTTTACTTGTCACACCTTGAGCCAGCCACCCTTCAGCCTTCAGGAACCTTCATAAAAATGGCTTCCTTCAATGACCTATCCGGGAAAGCTGTTTGTACATCCATATGATGTATTGAAAGAGTAAACTGATTAAAAAGATTATTACAAACCAGAAACCTACGATTCTCGCCACCTGTGCAAAGGTTTCATTATAATCTACCAAGTAATGTTGACTAAAACGACGAGCAACTAAGTAAGCTTTGTATCTAAATGGTTTTCCAATCTCATCATTTTTAATGGAAAATATCCATTTACAATCCACTATATTTTTATATTCGGGTCTTGATACTAACGACCTCGTTTTATTTACCAATAATGAGTGAATCAATATCATTTAGCAGATCTGTTTTAATCACAGATTTACTATACTCATTATTTAGTTTAATGAGTTTATTAGGGTTAACATTTACCTACTTTCCTGGATTGTTACGCATCTGATTTAGCTATATCAGGTTTATTAACCAAACCACCGATCTTGACAAACTGCCACTTTCAGGGGAAAGATTTTATTAGACTATCCAAGATGCTGTCGAACTCAAATTAAAATGTCCGCCAAGAGGCACACAAACCCTTTGTTTGCTTGTCAAAGTCACGTGTTTTGGATAGGCTAATTACCAAAGTGTTACATTAATTTTTGACACTTTTTCAGTTCAGTTCAGTTCAGTTTATTAATAACTACTGATCTTGACAAACAATCAGAGGGAACAGCTTTATCATCAAAGTGTTTTACATTCACTTTTTCATAATCACTATTAACTACTAATATTGACTTACTCGAAACCCTGATTGAAAATCACTGAATAGTTTATTTCTATCTACCTATAAACTCAACAAGTTGCATATACACCATTTTCTCCAAAATTTTGTCAATAGTGCAAAACAAATTTATTGGATGCAATTCACTGGAGGATTTTAATTTAACTACTTTGGGAATCGTGATTATATTCGAAACTGAATGAATATCATATGGCAGATCTGTTTTAACCACAGATTTACTATAATCATTCATTATATAGTTTGATAAGTTTGTGGGTTAACAGTTAGCTACTTTCTTGGATTGGTTGGTCATCTGATTTTGCTTTATCAGATTTATCAACCAGCAATCTTGGCAAACTGTCAAAGGAATCAGTTTCATCACCAAAGAGTTATGCATTCACTTTTTGAAACTTATCATTAACTAACCACTGATATTGGCAAAGAGTCAGAAAAATTGGCTCTATGACCAGAGATGTTAAATATTTATACTTTTCAAGCTTATTTGTAACTACTGATCTTGACGAACAGTCAGAGAAATCAGCTTTTACAATTAAAGTGTTCTATATTCACTTTTTCAAGCTTGTTAGTAATTACTGATCTTGACAAATAGTCAGAGGAATCAGCTTTATGACCATAAGTGTTCTGCATTTACTTTTTCAAGTTAATGATTAACTACTGTTCTTGACAAATAGTCAGAGGGATCAACTTTATGACCATAAGTGTTCTGCATTTACTTTTTCAAGCTTATGATTAACTACTGTTCTTGACAAATAGTCAGAGGAATCAGCTTTATGACCATAACTGTTCTGCATTTACTTTTTCAAGCTTATGATTAACTACTGTTCTTGACAAATAGTCAGAGGAATCAGCTTTATAATCAAAAGTGTTCTACATTCACTTTTTCAAGCTTATTTTTAACTACTGATCTTGACAAATAGTCAGAGGAATCAGCTTTATGCAGATTAAAAGGCTTGGAGGACAAAAACAAATTTGTCATATCTACAATAATATCCTTGACTACAACAAACTTATGACTAACCACATCCCACACTTCATATTCATTTGGTTCATAACTAACCAGTACAGCTTTCCAGGATTTGATATCAAATTTTGTTTTCCTGGTTTTTATGTACCTATAAACGGTATTATGGAACCAAACACTTATGAATATTTTATTTGAGGCTTTTTACTACGCCACATTTCGTATGGTGTTTCAAATTCGTTTAAAGTTTTAGTAGGGGTCAAACTAAGTGAGAATGTTGCAATTAAAACTGCCTCCAACTTTTTTTTTTATATAGCTGCATCATTTAATTTGTGGGGTTCATGAAATTGTCAAATGATGACTTATCTTTTTGCATACCAAAAATCTCTCATTTCAGTAGCTAGATATTCACCTTCATCGTCACAGAATACATTGAAAATCTGTAAATTGAAATGTGCCCCACTTTCAGCAACTGAATCTTGAAACATACAAAATACATGACTTATGACTCATCAAATATGTTACACAATAGTAAGTAAATTCATGCACAAACAGTACAATGTTTTTGAAATGGAAGTCGCGCTTGTTTATGCACGCTTCACATAAATACTCATTGTATAACCTGATCGATTTGCCCTAAGTCCTCTATCTCTGTTTTTTTTTTTTTTTTTTTTTTTTTTTTTTTTTTTTTTTTTTTTTTTTTTTTTTAATAATAATTTAATAATATGAACCTCACCAATGTGGCCAAAACGTTCAAACCACAATTGTTAATTTTTATTTATATTTAATTGTCACTATGTGCTTGAATAATAGTGTTTTTTAAATTTCCAATAACAGTGAGTTCAATAGCAATTATTATTAAAGTGTTCAAAGACTTACCCATAAATTATAAGCTTACCGCCTTTGTAAATACTAGCACTTTTTTTTAAGCAATAGTCATACTAGCCCTTTGCATTTTTCTTACGGACAGCAAATTGTAAAGAACCTCTGGACAGTCCAGCCTATACCAAAGACTTTCCTGTATGCCCATATTACTGGGAACACTAATTGTGCCCTTTTTGGTTGCTGTTATAAGAGTTCCATTTTTTTTTTATTGATGGAATTGTTTTGTTTCACTTTTTTCATTGTGTTTCAGAGATTTGACGTCTTTTAAAATTGATTTCAAAATATCCTCAACGATAATTATTTCTAAATTGCTGAGCTCTAGTGTTCTTATCTAAGTTCAGGCTCTGTTAGCATGAAGCCTTTTGTTTCTTTTTAGTTTCAAATTTTCCATTGTCACTATCACATTAAACACTCCCGGTTTTCACAACCGCAATGAATACAGGTACACTGGGTCCCATAACCTTGTAACGTGCTACCGGGTATTAACGTACATTAATTAATAAACAAAGAAAATCACTTATGTTTCAATCAAAATAAATTTTATTAATAAAGAAATACTTGAAAAATCAATTTATGGGAAAATTACGTGTCGGAAATCCTTAACTTTAAAAGAATGATTTTAGGGTATTAAGGGCTATTTCTTAATTACAATCCTACAAGTTTTGGGTATCGTTTGGCCAAACATTTATATATGACTAACTACGTTATAATATGAAACAAATCTGCACTGACACCCTCTTAACTGGGAAAACTACTCATTAAATGCATAGAATATCAAATGTGACTTAACTTGAAATATAATGAATTAATTGTTGATTTAAATGAATTTTGCCAGGTGACGAAATTCACAAGGCTCTTAGGGTTTGCAGCACAAAAACCTTGATTGGTTACCTGAACATAAATCTTAACAGGTAGGTACTTATCTTGACTCGACCGTGTTGGACGGGCGTTGGGTTTTCCAGGTTAGTAGAATCAACAATTTCTCGTAGAATCAACAATCTCTCGCAGAATCT